AAACCCTATGCATTAAGTAGTTCTCAGGTTTGAAAGCTGGCTGTACATTTAGGAAATGAAATAGAACAATGAGAAATGCTAAGGACTCTGTTTGAAGGGTAGCTGTGGGACAATTCAATAGCTGACAGGGGCTAGTAGTGACTCATAGTTCATCCAATATAGTCCAAACAATAAAATACAGATTCAGTGTAGCACCTTAAGAAGATGGAGTAAGTATCCTGTTTGGTTAAGAGAATAAGCGATTTATATACAGTATAATACCAGTGCAGATGAGAAGAGAAAAGAGGTGTCATAAGATTTTAATCTGTGACACAGTTAAAAATAAAAATATTTACAAATTAAAGCTGTTTCTCCCAAGTCATGTTTGAAGTTCAAGACAATACAGTAAAGGAAATGATTTCCTTTCCATTTTCATCCACTCTTTTTGAGTCCCACCTGTCCTGGTGTCTGTTATGGTTTGTCGGGGTAACTACAGTATAATGCCCCGACAGAAACCATGATATGGTATGTTCAATTCAATCTAAGCTTTAATGAAGAAAGCATTCTTAAACTGAACATATCCAGAGCACTCCAATTAAATTATTATGATACATAAAGTTGTTTTCTTTTAAAAATGAACCAATTCTTATCTTAATACCCTGTGTATATAAAACACATGCAGATGGCTTTGCTTTTGTTAAGCACTGCACTTGCTGTAACTAAATCTGCATTTTAAAGACAAATCTTGGCTCTTCAATAGGCTGCATGAATTCTAAACTACTAAGATAATGTAAGCTACTTAAAAACCTCAAACCTTTTTGAGTTCAGAAGAAGATTACTGCTTTGTGCAGAATGTAAACTGAACCTTTGGCTCCTGTGCCAATTGCAAATTACAAACCCAGTGCTTGATGGCATCTCCCTGGTTGTCAGAAGCCTCTTGCTTCAGCAGCAGACAATGGAAACCAGGCAACATGTTCTGCATTAGTAATGTGTGATTGACAAAAGGTTTAATTTAATCCAGGCTTTAGACTAGTCTAAACTATGATATAATTAATGTTAGACAGAACATTTCCATCGTGGACCAGCTTATAATAATTCATAAAAATGAGGAAAGGTGTCATTGATCATTGAAGGACATGTTTTATTGATGACATAAAGTTGCTTTATTTATTCTATATTTGAAAGTGGATATCAACACATGCTCTACATATATTTTACCTACAACACAAATTACAGCCATAAGTACACAACAAGTCTTTAAATCTCAGGAGATTCCAATATTCAATAGCTAATGTGTATGTGTGTGTGTGTGTGGGGGGGGTGATTTGCTATGAAAGATACATTTGCTCCATAAAACAAAAACCTTTCAAGACTGCGCACAGTATGTAAATTAAATTGTATATAATAATATACAGACTACAAACAACATATTTTAGATGTTTTTGGTTCGGGAGAGAAAGGAGACCTCTTCACATTGTTTTTACAACAGCGAAACCAAAGTGTCATTATACTGTATGCGTGTGTTAAAGTACTTATTCAAGCAGAATCTCTTTACCTGCATACCACTCAAGGTCTTTTCTGTATAAATCTAGATCAAATACTCAATATTTCAGTAGTGCAAGTTTAACTTTCGCAATCATTAGAATTTGATTTATCTTCTACTCCTCAAAGATATTTGTGAATTTAAAGTGTTGTAGACTGTAAGTAGAATTACAGTATACTACACACATGTACAGTATACTTTAAACTGCCAAACCCTTTTAACAATATAATTGAAGGGTATCGCAGGACTTTATTTAAATGTTTTAGATTAGTTCATTAGCAGACTTTATACTCATATAATTAATGTTTTGTGATGAATGGCCTTTTTATTTTTATGTTTATGCAAAAAATAATAAAAAAGTAATATAAAAAAGAAAATGAAATGATTTAGATTCATGACCTATTTAAAAACAGAAAATCCAGATTAGCCAAACAAATCCAGATTAGTCCTCTCTTTCTTCGTGAATTTCTTGATCTAAATGCTAGGGTGGAATGGGTTGGAATTATATAAAAATATGTTCTAGGCTAATAAGAACAAATAACAATTGTATCTAGATTTTGAGTAGACTACTTTTACCTTTCTGTTGTGCTACATACTGTATTGCAATTTGCATTAGGTGTAAAGTATGAAGGAGGATTCAGTCTCGTGTTATGATTGTTTACTTAGAGCCTCTAGTAAACCACTACGTAAACCCAAGAGTTTCAGTGAGGCAAGGGTTTTGAAAAAAGGAAGAGATAGCAACACAGTGAGAAAGGTGTTATAAATAACAAAAGAGTTAAATAAATTGTTTTAAACTCCTATAAAGGTTAGTCATTTATTTTATTTAATATCACTGGAGGTTCACTAAACATATGCAGTGCTCCTTGCTTAAACTGTACATACTGTATACCTCAGAAAGTTTAAATTCCTCAGTTAACACGTTATTGATTAATGACTTGAATGCTATCCTATAAGCATTAAGCTTAAGTATGAAACTATGGCATATTAGAAAATAAAATGATGCTGTTAATTTTCTGTTTCTGCCATCACTATATATGCTTATGCATAGTTTAGTAAAGCAATAACTTCACTTGTACTGTAGTCAGCCTCTGACTGCAGCTACTGTGCAGTAGATGCCCTGTGTTGATTCAAACAGGGATCACAAGGATTTACTTCAGTGTCCATCTACACCAACAGTATTAAGGGCACTTTTTCAATGTTCTGTTTTGTTTTACCCTGTAATTCTTGAACAGAAAAAAAGGAATAAAGACACAAATAAAAATGTGGAAAAAGAGAAAATGTAAACTTTAATTAAAAGCCTGACTAAAAACCATAGCTGTGGAGCATGGCAACAGAAAGGACTACTAAAAGGTGAGCCTTAGCAGAGCACAGAGCTCTGCTTGGCACATCAGGAGAGACAGATGATAAATACTGCATGCCAAAAGAAAACGTTAAAATGAATGTGCTGGGTAATGGGGGGCCTGTAAAGCTAAGTGAGAATTGGGGTGATATGGTCATAGAGCCCTGAAATCCAGCAGTGGAGTTTGGACAGTCTAAAGGTTGATTAGAGAGTGAGTGAGGAGACTACTGGATTATTACAGTAATCCATCTGAGATGTGATGAAGACATGAATTAGGGTTTCTGCAGCAGTGTAATCAAGAAAAGACTGAATACGGGCATTACTTAGGTGAAAGTAAGGGATGTTACAGATGGCTTTAATTTGTGCATCAGAACAGATCTCTGTATCAAACCAGACCCTGAGATTTTTCATTGTAGGGCATAATCTGAAGCTTGTTTCCAAGTAGGAAGGATTTTAAATGAGATGTATCTTCATTGGGATTAATGATCAGTTTTCATCATATTTAAATGGGGGAAATTTCAGCTCAACCAGGTCTCAATTAACCTCACACA